GTTGACATTCATTTCAATTAATAATAAGTTTTAATGTTAAGTGTTTAGAGTGTTTAACGAAAATTGTTAACATTGCTTTCAATTCCAGTAAGAAATGTATTTACAAGTTTCGGTAAACGGTCGAGTGGAACAGATAGAAAAAATCTTGAAGATGCGTTTTAATTGTCTTACCAAGTATTACAACAGATTTTGACCAGTGAACGGCATAAAAAATGAACAAGTCTGGAATTAAATGTAAAAATTTTTTAGTTGTATAATTTTCGGTCCCAAGACTATTATGTTTAAATAAAATCAAAAAATGGTGTTCTCTTGCTTAAAGAATGGGTCTTTAGGCAAAAATGCTATTTTCTTGTTCGCTTCAAAGGCCAAAAATGGAGTTTTCTTGTTTTATCTCTTTGTTTCTTCTTTAAAGTTTTCGGTATCTGATAACTCAAGGTTTAGCCAATTTTAAGATAACTGTAACTAAGTTTTTTGTATGAGAAAATCTAAAGGAGATTTTTAGTTTTAAAATCTCCTTTGGATTTTCTTATATATTTTTTCATTTAGTTGCAAATTTATCGAGATTCTCGCCACTAAGTGGATTGATTAAGTAATTGATGTTTATTGTTAATTTTTTTTTTGGAATGTTGTGAACACCACTAAATTTATATTGGAATATTTAATATTAATTTAACATTGTATAGTCCACGCGTATTGATTGAAGGGGGATAAGCACTGCCCCATTGTCAGACTATGCCAAATTTACCCTCTGAGTTCTTATTTTCCTTACATTCAGGCATATATTGTCGTACTCGTATATTGTCCAAAATTGATGAACAGACGGCCAATACAACATTTGTAAATCAAATTTAATTTCTTCTTATAAACATATGTATACGAGTATGTATAAAAAGTCAACGATACCTAAATGTTATAAACTTTTAAATAAATTTTATTTGGGTGCCTATAGTTTTAAATTTGAACGAATTAATACGAAATTTTGTTCTCACTCATTTTGGGTTTTTTTTTTTTGTTTTTTGTGCTCTTTAACGCCCTTTCTAATTTTTTTAAATTTGTTAATAAAAAATGCACCATAGAAATATTGTGTTTGTTTTGTGTATTTTTTTCTATTATTTTACTATGGTTATTCTTTTTCAGATTAAGTTTTGAACTTTTCTCTATTAGTAATAAAATTATATAAAAAATATTATAAATAAATTCTAGTTGGATTTAAATTTTTGTAGGTGGGATAAAATTATAATTAAATGCACTGGATTTATTTTTATTTTATTTTATTGAAATTTATTTTAAAATTGTCTATTAGCTTACATTCCTACATTTTTTGTTTACTGTTGAATTGCGTTTTTATTTTTCATTTTTTATTTATTATAGTTAAACAAGAAATAAATGAAAATATTTGGTTATTTGTACAAGGAATTTAAAATGAAATAAAAAAATTAATATTTAAATGAATATTAAGCTACCAAAAAATAATTTTAAAAAATCGAATATGAATGCATGAATGAAAATTATATATAGGAGTGAATAGACCGCTCTATATGACATAGGAGGTAAAATAAAATTATTAATCTAATTTTATGAAAAATTTGGTGTCCCATTGCTTTGGATAGGTCACTTTAAAAGTAAATGATTTTATTTATAAAAAAAAAATTTAATTAAGGTATGTGTAGGTGGCGCTAGATTGTCATTTAAATAATTATCTAGTTTTTTCGATAGTTTATTTCAAATTTACAAGATAATGTAGTTAATTCTGAAGTTTTTAGTTGATTTGATTTTGAATTTTTTTTTTTATTAAATTTATTTTGTACATTATTTGGGTGGCTTGAATATTTTATTGAAATTTTTTTTAAATTTTTCCAAATTTAATTGAATATTTTAATATATTATTTTTATATATGTATATACTTAGGTAAGGTAACCTCCCCGTATTCATGTATTTTATTAAAATGATATTTTTATAAAAAAAAATTTCAATTTTTAAATAGACATTTAAGCAATTTAATGATTTAATCCTATCAAATATTTTTTTTTTTGTAAATTTTTAAAATAATAATATAGGCGTTTTAAATTTTAAGACAAGAAAAGAGTTTAGCACACGTAAAAAGTGATTTTATTTTTATTTAAGAAATGGGGCCGAAATACGGCAGACATGATTTATTATAATTTTTAATTGAATTTGTAGAGTGGCAAAATTTTGTAAAATGAGGTATAATAAGAACTCCTCACAAATGTAATATAAATTGATAAGTCCTAATAACATTCCTTTAAATCATAAAATATAGTGCAGTTATATATAAATTATTTGCAAGTTCCTGCTAAATATAGCATCGAAAATATACAAAATATAACATCGAATCGTAAAGTTTTGTAAATTTACTTGCGTTGCCCCACAATTGGAAAATTTTCTACAATTATATGAAAATTAGGCTCTTAAGACGTTATTAATGTAGAAAATTAAATTTATGAGAATTTTTTCATAAAATTGATTGTACTTTAATAATTTTTCAAAAATATTTTATGAAAATTTTATTGTAATACGTGTATTTTGAATTATTTGAAATTTTTGTTATACAGCAAACTTAATTTAAATTGAATTTTCAGGCTTAATTTTGTACAAGAACAAAAATTTAACTTTGTAAATAATTTAAATCTATTAGCTTTTATGAAATTAAATTTAATAGAAGTTATTTTATTCGAAGATCCAGTTTAAAGCCAATTTTAGACTATCTCCTAATCAATTGAATTAAATCACCATTGTACAAATTTCTTGTAATATTCACTCCATTAAATTTCTTGCCCCGTTTTTTCATATTCACAAGAAAACCTTAATATTTCATTTAATTTAAAAAAAATATTTTTTACTTACTTTAATTCTTTTTATTAAAATTGTTGTAGCATCTTTAAAATTAAACATTTTTACTTAATTTTTTTTTTTAATTTAATTCACAAATTATTTAAAAATTATAATTAATTTTTATTATAAAAATTAAAAATTTTTTAAGGTGCTTTATTTTTTTTTTTTGTGGATTTAAACTACACTTTCTAAAGAACAAAAACGTAATGAAAATTTATTTTCATTTAAACATTTAGGAAAATTAATTAACATATAAGTATTTTAAAACATTTAGAATGAGTGGCTAGTATTTAAGCTTAAATACAAACCCATTTCGTTTTTTTTTTTGTACAAATTATGCTTTTTTTTTAATGCACATAAAGGTTTAATGTAAATTTCGAAATACGTGAATTTAAATCACGAGTTTCCCATACATATAAAACAAGGAGAAATAAAAAAAGGTTATTAAGAATTTTATACAAAATTAACAAAAAAAAAAGAAGGTAATTTTATGTTAACATTCTTTACCGTTAATAAGGTTGAATAAGTGCATCCATGTTTTACCCATTTGTGACTTTGCAAGGCATAGTATAATTAATTTTATTCACATTTTTATATATTAAAATTTTCTTTGTGCTCATAACTTTTTTTTTTATTTTTTTTTCAGGAAAATGTCTTATTGTTCTCTCTTAAAATTTAATTACCATAAATAACAATGTGTGTTACGTAATTTGGGTAAACATCATCATTCTTTTAATAATCCATTTCATAATTTAACTATACATATATATAAAGTGTTTTATTTATATATTTTTTATTATAATGTAGAGCTCTTCACGTATTATTCTAGAATTTAAGCAATTTTCGGCACTTTTTTTGTGTTTAATTTGTTAAACAAATAGAAAAATAATAAGTTTTTCATAAATGGTTCATAATGGTTTTTTTTTTAATTTACGGGATATTGAAAATGTAATTCAATTTTGGGCCATTGCAGTTAGACCATAAAGAAGTAAGTATATAATGCATTAATTTGGATTAGATTGACGTTCTAATTTTCTTCTCTGCGTTTGTGGAATGCCGGAATCAATGGGACAATTTCAGAGCTCTTACTTTAGTTCCCTACTTCAATACTTTTTTGATTTCGATTGATATCACGTTCTCATTTTGGATTTCGATATTCTGTATATGTAAGTTTAAAAAAAATTTAATATCACCGAAACTTCCATTTCACAGTTCTATTTTACATGATACTCGTATTGTATTTAAAATTCGAGTTCCAATGTAATTAATGATTTTTGTAATATTTGCAAATTAAACATGGTTAAAATATTTATTTTTAATTTAAAAACATCTTTCAGTTAACAGTTATCGCAACTGTCGTGTTAGGCGCTTACGTTATTCCGTCTTGAATTTATGGATAACATTAATGGCAAATATTTCATATACTGAAAAATTACTTGAAAATTTTCAACTAAATTCAACTATTAATTTCAATATGAGATATTGAACAATTTAATATAAAATTAATTATGTTAAAATATAAAAATGAAATTAACTTACGCGACGTTGTCATATCGGCAATAATTTACAACAGCTTTTTAAGCACAACGAACCTAATCTAAGTACCTATTTACCTATAGATTAAATTACAATATTACATTAAAAAACCTCAAATATATTTACTGCACTTATACATACATATAATATAATATTTCTGCCTTATCGTAAGCTTATTGTAATATTACTGTGATATAAAACTAATTCGCGTGCGGATTGTATAAACCGAAATGCAATTCGTATTAAAAGTAAGTACAAAAAAAAATTACAAAATACACTTGAAAGAATTCATTACTCATTTTCACCACATTTTTCACTATTACAAAATAAATTTAATATTAAATATCAGTAGGGTCGATCACTTTAACAAATATAACACTTAAAATACAATATAGATTTTCTCAATTTTTAATATAATAATGAAAATATAGAAATTCAAATTTTTTAAATTCAATATTAGTTTGTGTGTTAGCAAGTTTTACTAATTTAATTTTATAAACAAAAAAACTGAAAATTTTGTCATTGAGTCAGAAGTAATGAAAAAAAAATTCATTGTCACGATATATATTGATTGGATTATCAAGAGATTATAAGATTTTCCATTTGGAGGGCTTTCTAGATTAAATGATTAAAATTTATATTAAGAATATTTTAGTGAATAGCGTTTTACATGCAAGTTGAAGTCTCTTAAAGCCTTAAAAATAAATGACCTAACTTGCTTTAATTCAATAGCAATGTCAAGAGAGCTTTGCTACAATTTAATAATGACTAAATATATTATTCTGTTTTTGAAATTATTTAATAAAGCCAGATTTTAATTGTTTTTTTAAAAAAATTAATATTTATTTTCTCCTTATCATTTTTTCAGTCTATGTATTTTCTAAAATTTCCCGCTTCTTTTAATTATCCTTGTAATTGATCTAATGTTGGTTTAACGAAATCTTCATAATAATGATAAACATCAGCATGTGCATCTGGATTACCACGAGCACATGGTGTTCCCCAATTAACTAATGCAGCAACTTTACCATCAACAACTAATGGGCCACCAGAGTCACCATGACAAGCACCTTCACCAGCTTTATTAAATGTACAAGCATGACCTTCTCCAACCATACTGCTGCCACCGTGAGCTGCTTTACAGTCAGCATATGGAACATAACCAACATTTAAAATTTGTAATTTATCGGGAACACGTCCACCTAAACTTAATGTACCCCAACCAGTTAATCTTAAAACATCACCAGCTACTAATTTACGATCATTCATTGGAATTACTTGAACTTTATCATTTAATTCGAATTTTTCTTTAACACATACAACAGCAATATCATGATGATAAGCTGGGCTATTGTAACGTGGATGACTAACAATTGATTCTGCTTGATGTCTTTTGCCACTAATTGACAATGTTTGTGATCCAACAACAACATATGTACTAGATGGTTGTCTACCTCTAACACAATGTGCAGCTGTCAATATGCATTTATCACTTACGATGGCTCCACCACAGAAATGTGATCCGGATGATGAACTTTGTAATGATACTTGATATGGTGCAATACCATCTGGAGCATCTTGACCACCAACAATACGACCACGTGTTACTTGTGGTGGATATAAAATTTCCATTTGTGAAGCAAATGTCACTCCAACAAAGCAAAGTGTTAGAATTATTTTGAACATTTTAATAGTTTTTGGTAATATTCCTTGTAATTTAAGTTAACTGTAATGTCTCAATACGAGAACTAATTTCTAAAATAATTTTCATTCTCTTTTATAGAATGAAGTTGCAATTGAATCCACATTGTGGTAAATCAATAAGGATTAGAATTTCAATTACTGATAAATCGCTTGATTTAATTTTTTTTACCGATCCAAATAATCTTTTAATAATCCACTTAAGAAAAACATGAGCGATAAGTGTGTGATTTTTTGATTAAAATTTTAACTTTAATCAGATTTGATTAGATTTTATTTTGATAATATTTGCAAAGTAAATGTAGACTAAGTATTGTTAAGGTTATAAAAAGCTTTAGCCAGATTTGTAAGTTTATAAACAAATTAAATAATTGTAAATAGAAATTCCCAAAATAATAACAAGTATTGTTTAACGAAGGGAGAAGAGTTGACTTTTGAGTATAATTGCACTTGGAAAGTTTCAGTTGTGAGCTAGTTAAATGAAAAAACCTGAACTTATTATTTACTTTAGAACACTATTGGCTTAGTACTAAAAACAAAGTACCTCTAAATTTAATCTACAGTAGAAGTAAAATATCATAAACTGAAAAATTCTTGAATACCTCCCTGTATCTAATTCAACATTCAAATTACCTGGTATGATGGATAGAGTTAAAAAGTAGTGTCCTATTTTCGAATGATATTTGACAAAATTAAAAATTACTAGTTTTCGTAAAAGGAAATAAAAAGGAAACTGTACTCTTATGTCGAAGAATTTCATCTTCGCTAATCACTAGTTTCTTCGGGTTAGAAAGGCTTTGAAACTTGGAATGTATATAAGAACTTAACTTTTTACTTATTAAAATTTTTTCTTTTATTAATATTTTCTTTTATTTATTTTAAAACAACTTATATCTACGTTTTTTGTATTGCTCTAATGATGGTTTAATAAAATCTTCATAATAATAATAAACATCGGCATGAACATCTGGTAAACCAAGTGCACAGGGTTGTCCCCAGTTAACTATTGCAGCTATTTTGTCATTAAGAATTAATGGACCACCAGAATCACCATTACATGTACCTTCACCAGCTTTATTTAGTGTGCATGCATGGCCTTCACCAACCCATGATCCATGCATACCATGCCTTTTTTTACATTCATCGTATGGAACAAAGCTAACATTTAAAATTTGCAATTTATCGGGACTACCAAAACTTGATCTGCCCCAACCGGTTAACGTTAAAATATCGCCAGCAATTAGTTTATGATCATTGAGTGGAATAGGCTGAACTTTACTGTTAAATTCAAACTTTTCATAAACACATATAATACCAATATCATTGTGGTATTTTGGTTTGTTAAAATTTGAATGAGTCATTGAAAAATTTCCTTGATATTTTTTACCTTCTTTTGATAATGTTTGTGAACCAACCATTACATATGTACTAGACCATCCGTTTTCAAGACAATGTGCGGCTGTTAAAACGCAATGCTCATCAATAATTGCTCCACCACAATAATGTGATCCTTTATATGATTTTTGTAATGATACTTGATATGGTGCCACACCGTCTGGGACATCTTGACCACCAAAAATACGTCCACGGTTTGGTTGGGGAGGATATAAGACCTCAATTTGTGAAGCAAATGTTTGAGTAGTTAAAAGAAATGTTAAAATTATTTTGAACATTTTTTCCAGTTTTTGATATGGCAGGTTTTCCTTTTAATGTTTTAAAACCAGAAATGATGTGTAAAATAAATTCCGATTCTCTTTTATAGAATAAAATGTAACTGACGCAATATTAAATAATTGAATAATTTATCGATAAACTTATAAAAACTATTGTCAATTGAAAGTATTTAACTTTTGTTGAGCAATATCGAATAATCTTTTAAAGAGCCACTTCATTCGATTCATTGGATTGATGATTCATTGTTTTATTATGAGCCGTTGCAAAATGCATATTTAGGAGTAATACCCAATATTAGGAGCACATATTTAGGAGTAATACCCAAAATGCATATTTAGGATACCCAAATTTGAAAACTATTTTAAATTATATACAGTAATTGGGTTGAGCGTTTGATTTGACAAGTGAGTACAATTAAATATAAATTTTTTAAGTAAGAATACAATTGAATATTTTTATTTTCGGCATCATAATTTTACTTTTTTTATAGAGGTTTCCAAAAAAATGTTACAATTCCTACGCAAGGACGACAATCATCAATAAGAACTGTAGATTAGAAAATAAATCAGGGAAACTGTTGATGCCTAATAATCCTTTTAGATTGTCAGATTCGTCTGTATATTAATAACAAAATAACAGCAGTTTATATTCTACTGAAGATCCTAAAAATTTTAAGTTTTTACCTTTAACATAAAAGCATTATATTTAAGGCAAGAAATGTTGGATTAAATATTGAACAGACTGTACTGTTTATTATAGAAAGAGGTACTGTTTTTATAACAAATTTAAAATATTCACATATTAGCAGAAATTCCAGAAAAATATGAAATGTTTTAGCAAGATAACTGTTTCCGGTTCAGTTGATTTCTACAACAATTAATGTATAAGCAGGAGTTTATGAAATAATTAGCTTTTAATAATTAGATCATAAATTTCAGAACACTGAGCCTCAAGTTATTTGACTCTTTCAAATATTTTTAGCTTATTCAATAAATACATAACGAACTTTAAACGTAAAAACTACTTTATTTTTATTTAAATTGTATATCTTTAATGTCCTTGTAATTTATTTAATGTTGGTTTAATAAAATCTTCATAATAATAATAAACATCGGCATGTGCATCTGGATTACCACGTGCACATGGTGTTCCCCAATTAACTAAAGCAGCAACTTTACCATCAGCGACTAATGGACCACCGGAATCACCATGGCAAGCACCTTCACCGACTCTATTAAATGTACAGGCATGACCTTCTCCTACCCAAGGACTACCACCATGAGCTGCTTTACATTCGGCAAATGGAACATAATTAACATTTAAAATTTGTAATTTATCAGGCATAGCTCCACCCAAACTTAAAGTACCCCAACCAGTTAATCTTAAAACATCACCAGCTACTAATTTACGATCATTCATTGGAATAATTTTAACTTTTTCACTTAATTCGAATTTTTCTTTGACACATATTACAGCAATATCATGATGATAAGCTGGATTCATAAAACCTGGATGACTAACAATTGATTCAGCTTGATGTCTTCTACCAACTTCTAATATTCTTTGTGATCCAACTACAACGAATACATCAGATGGTTGTTTACCCATAACACAATGTGCTGCTGTCAATACACATTTATCGCTTACGATAGCTCCACCACAGAAATGTGATTTTTCGTATGTACCTTGTAATGATACTTGATATGGTGCAATACCGTCAGGTGCATCTTGACCGCCAACAATACGTCCACGAGTCACTTGTGGTGGAAACAAAACTTCAATTTGTGAAGCAAATGTCAGTCCAACAAAGCAAAGTGTTAAAATTATTTTGAGCATTTTAATTAGTTCTTCTAGTGATTTTATTTTAAATTAACTTTAATATCTTGAAAGAACAACTAATTTCTATAATATTTTTCAATCTCCTTTTATAGAATTAAATTGATATCATACTTAATCTATGAGGATTATGATTACAATATCATATTTATAGAAAAATCAGTTGAAACAATTGTAATTTGGCGATAAAATTCTTTTGATTATAGTTTTTAAATTAATTTTCAAAATTATTTAATTATTTGATTCGGTAGTTAATTTCGGAATTTAGTATAGTCAACAAATCATGAAAACTTTTAATTTACAATAAATAGTTGAGAGCTTAAGTTAGTTGAATACTGCAACGAAATTTTGTTTTTGTATTCAGAACCAACAATAATTTGCATATAATTTAAAGGTATTAAATTTGAATGCCCAATATCGTAAGAATGCACCATTTATGTTTTCGAAAGTATTACCGTATTACGTTATGACAACTTAATCAATTATTGGACTTATTTTTTTTTGCCACATAACATTTTATTTTGAATCGTTTATTAAATCCCTTTCTGTATTTAAAGTATTTTTCAACATAGAAATATAAGAGACAATAAAAACAGTAGCATTTTTTCAAGTGGCATAAAGCAATTTAAATGATAATTATGTTAAGCTATTAAAGTTGAAAAGTAAAAGAGCTACAAAAACAAAAATTTCAATTTGATTCACAGCAAAACATAACTTTTAACAGCTACTATCATAATAATGTAATATAAATATTGTCGGCATACAAAACACTTTATAAGAAAAAAAAGTAAAAAGAAAAATAAGGGGTCGATGTTGTGATACAATATGACAATTTAATTCTGTATGGAAATTTAAAAAGAAAAATTTGAAAATGAGTTTACACACAGTAGAATGTAAATTTGATGAACACTATACCACAGTCGAAAAATTATTTCTTATTTATTGTTTGAGTGAGTACAATGTATAAGAAAAGTATTTTAATAGCAATTTCAATGAATTCACTTTAGCAACATTTACTCTGAAAACACTTTATTCTTCATGATTACATAGTGTAAACACTTACATTTTATTTCATAAAGTTGAAGACACTGTAAAATAAACCAAATTCATATTTTTTGACCATTCCTGAATATAGACTAGCCTAACTTGCTTTATTCGATTTTCAATGTTTTTTTTTTTTGTAGAAAATAAAAATCAAAATTAAAGGTTGGGTCATACCTGGGATTGCAATGGGTTTTACGATGATATTTAATAACATTTCTGCAATCACGTTAATTTATTCAGTTGGAAAAACAAAAAGTCAATAGTTACAAAGATTTTATATAGTTAGGTGACTCTACGGGAAAGTTTATAATTTAGTACTAGATTACTGAAATTTGGAAGAATTCAAAGAGCGATTTTCCGTTATTACTTAAAATCTTACATCAAATAGTACGATCTAGGAAATACGAGAGTAATCTCAACAAGAACATAGTCCTGAAATAAAATTAACGAGAAATAAAAGATCAAAAATCTGATTGCAAAAATTTCTCTATACATTTATAATGACATTAATTCTCTGAATTTAATTTTTTGTTTAAATCTTTATTTCGCAATTGTCAGCGCACTGTCCAAATACTATTTTGAAATTTTGGGAAAAAATTTACTATGGTTAGATTTTTGGGGAATCTACTGTGTCTCATTAAAATGCTTTTTGAAAAATTTATCTTTTGTTTTATATTATAATAAAAGACCAGAAAGTGGAAAACATAACGCGTAGGGAGCACATAAAATTTATTTTTATTGCATATTTTTCTATAAAATCGTAATAAAAAAAGAGAAAAACAAAAGGGAAAGAGAGAGAAAGAAAAAAAATAGAGTTAAAATCTGACTTAGTTGGCAGTAAAAAAGTGAATTTTCAGTTTTTTGTTTTGATTTTTTTTCTTGTTTGTTTATTGAATGAAGTGAATGCATTTTTTAAATGAATATTGTAGATATACGTATATTTATGTACAAACGTTTGTATATACATAAATAATACACATACTATAATTATTAAAATAAAATTATTTATAGTAGAAATGTGACATTATTAAGAGTCATTTTATGACAACTTATTTTATTCATTTTTTTTTTAGTTTTCTTTGACAATTATTATTTATTTCTTGTTGTAGCTTTAAGGCAGAAAAGCTGTATGTGCTTGCACTTTGCATATATTCAAAATTGAATAAAGAAAGTTATATTTTATATTTAAGTATGTAGTAAAACGGATTTAGGGCAATTAAAACTGTATTCATATGCAATTTACACATAATACACATAGATACCTACATACATGCATAATATTGTTCATTATATAGGGTGTTTCAAAATCATATATCATTAATTCTATTTCACATATATACATTATCATATGTGATTTGAAAAGGTGCAATGAAAAATCATCTGAAAACTTTGCAAATTTATTCAAAAACTTTCTAATTGTAAATGTAAATTATTTTTTAGTTAATAAAAATTTTTACTTAAGTTTGCTAAGTAGAAGGGTCTCAGTGGCTTGATATACTGAGTGTGCACAATTTTATGCTCGTGTGATATAAGATATAGATCTGGTGTGATATTGTTATCTTCACTGATTTTAAATTATATAATTTAGGGAAAACTTATAAAAAAAGTCAAATTGGTTTTCGACTTGGGTTGGAAAATTTTAGCATACAGCAATGGCAAAAATTTTGTATTCTCGTTTATAAGAATACGCATATATTGGTAACAATATTGTTGGTACTTGAAAACTTTTTAATTATGATTTATAATAGTACAAACTTAAAAGTGTGTATATATGTATGTATGTATATATATCAGTAAATTAGAATAATTTGTTGGGCTATCTTTCATCAACTTTAAATCAACTTTTACCATTGTGTTAAAATCGTTTGTTAAAGAGGCAGGCTCTTAATTATATTTTACTGGGAGAGCTCCAACTTAATTGAATGTTTTCTTTTAAAGGGAGTGGCCATTTTTGAAGATTTTTTTTTTCAATTACCGATGGAAGAACAAGTTTTAATTACAATTGATATTTTTGAAGTAAGTTGATATTTTGTAAAGTGTACAAGTATGTTAGTGAGATTACATTGAGTATAGGGTTTTAGTGGCAAAATTTCTTTCAAATGCATGTTTCTTGTAAAAGAGTGTGTACCTGTACATAAATATTTTGGAGAAAACAGTATTTTTTGATTAGCTATCTAGTCTATAATGTATATATTTTAATCCATCCTCACGGACTTAACGATATTTCAATTAACGTTTCTAATTATTGTACACTTTGGAACGTAAAACAGAATTCTTGGGAGCTGATACCAATTCATTAACCATTGGAACCATTCGCTAATTTATTGACTCAAACAAACTTATTGATTCGTAAATTTTGGAATTTAATCGAACACATGAAAAACTATGAAAAATTTCGTTAACGTCTTTGTGAAATTGAGCCTATATTAAAGATATCAAACACGATTCTAAAAATTGAACCGTTCTAAAGTTTTCTATTTTGTTTTTTCCATTCTTTCTATTGTCGATGTACTCCTTATATTAATTGTATATTTAAGAATTTTATATTAAAAGTTTTTTTTATTAATTATTTTAATGATTGCTAAGCTAATATTTCAATTGACGTATGCAAAGTGATTAAAGAATCCCTGTATGGTTTTTTACGTATAAACTAACACGTACACTCTCAATCCTTGCAACTTTTGTACACCAACACAAACGGACATATAATTTCTGTTAAAAGTAAAGCACGTGTAAAATAGAACCTTTTATTGGGTAAAATTTTTTTTTAATTTTATTTTTATTCTAAATCTTTCTTCTTTTTTCTTACCTTTGCATGTTTGCTTTTTCCAAAAAGAGGAAAAGACTTTAATGTTTGTTTATGCGGCTTTTCTTTTTTTTACTCTGCTCTCATTATGGCTTTTAAACCATATATGTATATAAAATGCTATTGAAAAGAAAGAGAAAAAGTTTTATTGCATATTTTTTTCTTTTATTAAAGACAGGAAAAAGCAATGAATGGTTTTTTTTTCAAAAGTGTTTCTCTTTATTCCATCATAAAATTTATTATAAAAAAAAAATATACACGTACATATATGCAAAACTAGGACATTTTCATATACACACGCTTTCATAATTTTTTTCTATTTGCAATCACAAGGAACATTATAAGAAATGCTTTGCTTATTTTATAAATTGTTTACAATTTTTTTATGTATATTTGAGAGTTGAAATATATGTACATATTTACCTTTACTTATACGTTCTGTACGTGCATATCAACATTATTTTATAAAATATTTAGGCATACCTACTTGTATTCTAAAATAAAAGTTAAGTAAAAACATAATTTTTTATATAAGTTTCAAGGACGATCAGCAATTTTGATTTCTTTTTTGACTGCAATTTCGACTTTTTTAGGACAATAAAATGCCACCGGCACACGATGTCGTAATTTTTAACAAATTTGAAATAGATTGATAATATGTAGCGTTGTATTTGAAAGGAAGTTAATTTTCATTCTTGTTTTGAACGAAATAAAAAGGCAATTTAGATCATAAATAAAAAAAAAACAAATTAGATTATGTGCTAAATTGATCTACATACAATATTTTTATAAAAAAAAAAGAGAAAGAAACATAATGTTGAAAAAAGAATTACATAAGAAAGAAAAATTTAATGGAAATGAGTTCAAACTCAGCATGAGAATAACTTTTTACAAAGAAAATATTTCTGTTTTTGTGCTTGTGTGTGTGTATAATGGATTTAGTTTTATCTACCTATAAGTAATTAGACGTAAATATTTACACCCAAAAGAAAGAATGCTTGAAGAAAATTAATAAAATTTAGCACTTCGTTTGTAATGCTAAGAAAAAGATGTCTGAGATACACAGCCGGATCTACTACATATATGCAAAGTAACCAAATGCACTGAACGCCGTGTGTAATATTTATTGCATATTATTCAGTGAAAGAAAGGAGGAGGGGGGCGGGGGGGACACTTTTTGGAAATCACTTATG